CCAGAGTCCTGATCGGTCGTCTGTGGTTTCACGGGTTCAATTTTTCCGGTGACATAGGCCTTTTGTAAAAGAGGATAGAAGGAATTTGGATTAAACACCCCTACCATAGGAGTGGCCTCCACCTGAATGTCTTCCCCGTCTGACCACATGCCTTCTTCCGGAATCTGAGCAGAAAAATCTGATATCTCGCTCCCTTCAGATTGAGGTGGAGAACCGTGATCTGAAATCACATACTCCCTGGGATACCTAGTTTCCGTGGGCGTAGGGGGGGTTGATGGTCCTTGGACCGGAATGGCCCTCCCTGAAGCCGCCATTGCCTGAACCACCGCCTGTGAGATCATGGCTTGGAGCTGGACAGTAAATGAAGGATGTTCGGGGCCCCGAAGACCCGCCGCCATCGGCGTGAAAGATGCTGAAGGGATTGGGGGAGGGACGACTGTAGTAACCTCCCCCTGAGACCCACAAGACACTGAGGAAGGTCCTGGCTCAGCAGCTGAAATTGAATCTTGGACCTGTAATCTCAATTCTCGGTCAAAGAGGGACAGATGGTCCCGTTCATATCCCAGCAAGGAACCCTGGTCCAGGGTCTGCTCGGGAGACCAAGCCTGTGTAAGAGGGGAAGGTCGATGCTCCCCTGATGTGGATGCAAGAGGAGGTGAGGGGATAAGCTGCGTCTCTCCTGTCTGCCGCTGGGCTTTGGAGAATTGTCGCTCCAGCACCCCATGTCTGCTATCTGCTTGCTTGTCATCGGCCTTAGAGGTCCGTTTGACCTTGGCCTTGGCTTTTGCAGGTGTATCCAGACTGGATGGCTTGTGTTTTATATTTCCACTGGAGGTGGAAGCCTGTGAAACGGTGTTATCTGCCATATTGAAATAAACAATAGGAAATAAACAACAGGTGTTCACCAGGAGATCCCTGGATCTGGCCTGTACTGCAGTAGAAGAAAAGACAGGTTGTCACCAGGAGATCCCTGGATCAGTCCTGTTCTGCAGGAGAAGAAAGGGCAGGTTTTCACCAGGAGATCCCTGGATCGGCCCTTGGTCTGCAGGAGAAAGGAAGGCCACGGTCCACCTCGGTGGTACAGGCCTGCACGAGGGTCTGTGAGGTCCGGCCCACCATTAAGCACGGAGTCACTACGCGATATAAGCCGCACTACGCTCAGGGGCTGTCCTCCCCATTCAATTTTTCAGGCCCACTGTAATAGAGACAATTTGGCCGAAAAGGTATCAATTAAAGATAAGTCTATATATGAATATAGGTATATATCTTGTTTAATTTAATTCTGTTTTATTTTAATTTTTTTTTAACCCTCGTGTCTCACTTAGTGACGGCTAGGACAGTAAGTGCCGACCACTATGCAGACAGCGGAAAACAGGCAAGGCAAGCAGCCATCCAATCTGTTGGCACTGGATATTTAAAAGGTACTGGTAAGTCACAGTCTGGAATATTACCAGATAAAATGGAGTGAGAGACTCAAGGTATTTTCCCTATGTCCACTAGGCAACCTGAGATGGTGCCTATTAAGCAGCTGAATGAAGATCTAAAGGAATGTAATTAGAACTCCTATTCCCCCCCCCACTTAGTGAGAATCACCAAATAAGTAAGTTACTTCGTGACTGAAAAGGCTGTAATTAGGACAAAGCAGTCAATTTAATGTGTGTGATCGGGCGGAGCCCAAAATGGCGGCCGGGACAATCTGATGAGAGATGAAACAAGCTGAGAGAAAAAATCCTCTCCTGCAAGTAATCTGGTAATCAGCTCTTTTAGTTAAACAGTTCACCTGCTGTTTTTTTTGGGGGGGGGGTAATTTACAGCTGACAATCAACAGTAACAAGGAAGTACTTGAGTAGTGTGAGGATCAAGCCTTCTAGAGGCTCAAAATGGCGCCCGCAGGTTGTTTGAATTGGTAACTAACCTAAGAAGGTGATTTCAGTTTTCATCTGAAAATTAGTAGTTTAGCTTCGCATTCACAGCGAAGATCTTGGGAGGGGGTGGGGGAGGTGGATTGTAATGAGGAGGCAGCAATCTACAATCAGCTGTCTGCCTCTGAAAACTCACGGAGAAGGGAATTGATTAAGAGAGAAGAAATGGTGCAGCACTGAGCTCAGAGCTGAACCAATCCCCCCCCCCAAGAGGGAAAAAAAGGATAGAGAAACCACGAATGGCAATAACTACCTTTTTGAATCTAAATTAGGAGCCAAATTCTCATGTGTCTTCAGGGCTGAGACCAAACGAAAACTGGGGCATGGTCAGACCCTGCAGAGGCGTGGCAACTTTGATTGTTTGGTCTGATTGGGCTAGAAGACTAAATCAACCCATGCGTGGAGTCTACATTCCTCTACATGCTGGAGAATAATTTTTGCACAATACTGGAAGAATGAAGGATTGCCATCAGAAGAAGAAATAATCAGGAAAATATTGGAATGTGCAGAGATGGACAGATTAACTATGAGGTTGAAAGTTAAAGAAGATACAGACTACTATCAAATTTGGAACCTATTTTATTCTTGGCTAGAGGAAAGAATGAAGGATTAGTAATTGAACATGTATTAGCATAGCAAACTCCAGACAACTTGTTGATTGGAAAAATTAACATATGTTGATAAAAAAACCAATAAAATCTTTATATATATATAAACAGAATTCTTTATATATATAAAGAATTCTGTTTAGTGATCATTTGCAGTTATAACAGTGATGAAAAAATAACTTTAGACCAGTCCTTACATTTACAGCCTTTGTAGAACTCTAAAGGAAAAGAAAGCTAAAGTAAGATATAACATCTATCTATCTATCTATCTATCTATCTATCTATCTATCTATCTATCTATCTATCTATCTATCTATCTATCTACCTACCTACCTACCTACCTACCTACCTACCTACCTACCTACCTACGTAGTCACCCAACTTACCACAGGGTAACTCTGGGTGGCTTGCAATGTTAAATTATAGTTTCACTTAACAATTGCTTCATTTAAAGACTGAGTTATTGGTCCCAATTGTGGCTGCTAACTAAATGAGGACTACCTGCAGTATTTGTGTATATTTTTTATTCATATTTCAATATCTAAAATGATGTGCAATATTTCAATCAGATACACAATACATAGCATAATTAGCAATTTTACAAACTAGAAGTATATATTGTAACATTGTTAAAGAACTTGCTGCCCCTTCCCTGTGTTATTATCTAAAGCAGCGGTTCTCAACCTGTGGGTCGCGACCCCATTTCACGGGGGTCGCCAAACAATGCAGTCCGCCATTTCCCCCCCCCTTTTCCTTAGCTGTGCTACTCCCTTTTATACTATTGTTTTTGAAAGCCAATAGAATAGACTCTCTTGAATAGAGTTTAATTCTATTGGCTTTCAAAAGCCAATAGGAATTGTCCAGGCTGTCTCTGCCCTGCTGAGCCCGTCAAAAGTCCCACTCTGCAAATGGTGCTGCAAGTTGTCTGCAGCAAAGGTGAGCTATCTGGAAGTTTCCACCCCTCCCTGCTGAGCAACTACTAAAAATGTAAGTAAAAGAGTGCCAGGGGTGGGAGGTGGGAGGCCGGCAGGCGCAGGGAGGTTTGCTGGCACGCGTGGGGCCCGGTGGGTGCCTTACCTCCCTTGGGCTGGGCCAGCTGGTGGCCCAGCCAGTGGTTGGCCTGCTCCGTCTCTGCCGCTTGCCAGCTACGCCTCGGCCGGCGCAGGGGGCGGCATCACGCATGTGTGGCGCTCCCAGGCAGGGAAAGTCCTTGACTTACGACCGGTTGGGTAGTCCTTGACTTACGACCAGTTGGGGTCGCGGCATTAAAAAGGTTGAGAACCACTGATCTAAAGCATCCAGTGGTTTTTCCCCCCTACAGATTCAGAGTTCCAATTCAGAGGCAGGTCTCAAAGATTATTTTGTAGTTCCTTTTTTAGTTTGTATTTATATTATTTTAACATTTCTTTGATACAAGCCTGAGGTTTATACTAGGATATTGCCTTTTATGAATCTTAGGAGCTGGAGAAGCAAACAGACCAAATGAACTTTAGTTACATATTCCAGACAAGCACAAGGGTTCTATTTAATTTGCTTAAGCTTACTGAATGCAGATTGATTAGCTCTGTGGGTTATAAATTTTCACTGCCACAAAGCCTCAGTGGCAAATCTTGCTTCAGCTTAGGGAAAAGAAAATTCTTCCAACAAATTCATGCTTGTAAAATATGAATATATCTTTTCAAACATTAGATATTCTGATCATTGCTTATAAAATTAAAGTAATATTAACTGGATGAATGATATTAAGGGAAAATACAGTTATGTAATCAAAGGAACTGCAAACTTGTATGGTGATATAATTACTACAAACTGACAGTCCAATTTTGTTTTCCTCTATTATGATTAAAGATAGTCCTTGACTTACAAGCACAATTGAGCCAAAATTTATGTTGCTAAGCGAGACAGTTGTTAATTGAGTTTGCCCCATTTTATGACCTTTTTTGCCACAGTTGTTAAGTGAATCACTGCAGATGTTAAATTAGTAACATGGTTGTTAAGTGAATCTGGCTTCCCTATTGACCTTGTTTGTCAGAAAATTGGAAAAGGTGACCACATGACCACAGGACACAACAACCTTCATAAATATGAATCAGTTGCCAAGCATCTACATTTTGATCACATGACCCTGGGGATGCTGCTACAGTAGTGAGAAAAACAGTCCTAAATCACTTTTTTCAGTGCAATTGTAACTTTGAGTGATCACTAAATGAACGGTTGTAAGTTGAGGACTACCTATAATTCCTTATAGCTGAGTTCATATATAGCATTAAATTATAATGTGGTTTGTCTGAATGTGACTTAGTATGTTGTTTGAATTTAGTCACTGTAGTTAATAATGTATACAATTATAATTATATATTAAGCTGTATGTTTAAGATAGGAACATTGTCTTCAGCTTTTTGAGAAAAGTCAGCATATAAATTTAATGAATTAACAGGTTAAAAAAATGAACAGATTTCAAATTTCTTACCTGGTCATTCTCCTCTTCATCACTGCTTAATTTTAGGTCATCTTCTAGCATTCTAGAAAACAACAAATCTACATTGGAATCCAAAATAGCACTTCAGATGTCATTTAAACCATAGATATTCTTTCATTGTGAGTTCTAACTAAGCTTCAGTTGGTTCAGGGCAAAACTTCAGCTGGTCCAGGACTCTATTTCCCATTAAGGCTGTGCATGTTTTATTTGGAAGAAGTGCTTTCATGAGAGGCTTTTTCAGGAGGCAAATGGACTTTCTTGTTTTTCTTTGAAGATGTTTCACTTCTCATCCAAGAAGCTTCTTTAGCTCTGACCGGATGGTAGGGAATAGAAGCATTTATATTCCTTGCAGACAGCTGGTCCTTTTAGTGAGTCATTAAGGACATTTGGAGGTTTACCTGTGTTCTCAGGGTCACCTGAGTAGTGCAAATGTGTGTGGAGCCTTCTTGGCTGCAGGATGTCTTCTGCCCTGTGTCTCTTCACTGTTGAAACAAGGCGTGGGCTGTTGGGGATGAGTCTGTGTTGTCTGCATCTCAAACTGAAGTGCAAATGGTTCCTGTAGTCTGCAATGTTTTCAAGAAATCCATTCATACTCCCGCACCATTCAAAGGGTGTTCATCCCAAACTGCATAGCTAAATGTCTATGGACATTTGCTTTCATGAGAGCACAGCACCTGCCCTTTACTCATTAAAGTAGCATGACTGCAAATTTGAAGAAAGATGTTATTGTTTTAAACAATTTATCTATTAAAACAAAGGCAACATAAGCAGCATTACTTTTTATTTCTCATAGCAGCGCATGGAAGCCTGTCAATGTTGGGTTAACCTGGAAAATAATGCAGACCATAAAGGTCTTTTTTTTTTCTATGCCTGATTTTAGCAGCTACTATTCAATGGCATTTTCTAAATCTAAAATTTCCCTGTAGGCTTCATTACTCAAAATGGTTCTGAGTGGTGATATTATTGGCCAAAAAAACAGTATTATAATGCAATCGTGCCAATACAGGTAGCTTACATTGTTTGCAAGCAATTAAGTGATAATATCAATATCATCAGTGGAATATGAATTATTAATAGTAGTACATGACATTGTGAATTCTGCCTCTTAAATAATACTAATTTTATTTAGACCAGCATGAACTGGATCTGAAATGCTTGTTTCAAAAGTTCTTAATACGAACATAATAATTTACTTTTTTAGCCAATATATTTATGTGTCTTACATCATTTCATGCATGCTTCAAAATTTATTCTACAAAAAAGAAATAGGTTTATTCTATTTATAGAATGGGATGCAGTCTCTTGTGAATAGATATTACACTGGATCTACAGAAAAAAGCTAAAGCTAATTAAAAAAGATTAAAACATCTCTACATTGGATCAAAAAGTTCATGATATTTAATCTTTTTTGCATGTTACTTCAATTTTCATTTAAATCAGTTACCATCAATATATATTGATAGGGAAATTTCCAGAGTTTTAATGTTGAAGGAATCATCTAATGCAGTTTTTTTCAACCTTGACAATTTTAAGGCATGTGGACTTCAACTCCCAGAATTCCACAGCCAGCAAAGTTGAAGTCCACATGCCTTAAAATTGTCAGGGTTGAGAAACACTGATCTAATGGAAGCTCCATCAAAAGAAAAACCCATACACATTAAGATTGATCTTTGAGACTATTAAAACCAAATTGCATTTTTATCATATTAAGAGAAGATATCTAAACTGTAAAACATAAATTCTTCATGAATAATGGGTAGACACATGTTTCAGTCTGTGTTAATGAAGTGAAATTTATTGCTATTTTTTGTTCCCCATCATGTAACAGATGGTCAACTTTGCTTAATGAATATATATATTCAAAGCATGCATTTCATTTATAAAAATCTGTCAACACTATATCAACAGAACTGTTATTTTAAACAGTTCCCCATGATATCTCTATCGCCAAATTAGTTGTATAGACTAGAAAGCTAATGTTCTGAAATCACATTGCTTATTTTTATAAATTTTAAAAAACTTAAATTGTCAAAATTAAGTAGGAAATCAAAAGAGTAAGAAATGTTCACTAAATAGATATTGTTTCAGCAAAATAATATTAGGAAAAAATAACCTGCAACATTTTTTTTTAACTATGCAGTCAAAACATTCCATTTCTACATACACATGAATTATTCTAGTCTGCTTTGTGAGATGATTTACAATTATATGCCATCAAGTCACTTAGGGACCACACAGATTTTTTCTCCATGGCAATCTTTCCCTATGAAAGAAGGTGAATATTCGTGTCCCAGGATAATGTTGCAATATGGGTCGGTCACAGGACCAGAGATTTTTTTTATTATTAAAAAGTTTTATAAAGAATTACACCCCAACCCCCCCAACCCCCCTCCCCCTCCCCCACTTCCCAGAGCTGAATACAGGGTTATTACAAATATAACAATCAAACTCTAAATAACATTAACCAACTATAAAATAACCAAATTCATAGTATACTTTAATTCCCCTTTAACATAAATATAGACAAGTAAAATAAACATAATAATATAGACAATTCCATATTATTAAACAATATCCAAGTTATTAATCTATACTAATACTAAAAACAATAATAAAACTAATAATAATTTCACTATAATATACTGTTAATAAAAATACTCTAAAATTTACTCATAAAATAAATGGAACTTTTTAGTCCCATATTTATTTTGAATATAATCTATCCATCTTCTCCATACTGAAATATACCTTTCTTGTGTATGATCCTTCAAATAAGCAGAAATTTTTGCCATTTCTGCTAGATTAGAAACCTTAAGCGTCCATTCTTCTATAGTGGGCAAAGAATCTTTCTTCCAATATTGACCTACCAATAACCTTGCCGCTGTTATTAAATTCAACATCAGGTTAGTTTCTTTAACATCAAGATCTACAATAACACCCAACAAAAATAATTGAGGAGTAAACTTTATCTTTCTTTTAAAAATCTTTTGAATGTTCCACCAAATCATAATCCAAAAAGCTTTTATATTTCTACAAGTCCACCAAATATGGAAATAAGTTGCATCTAAACCACCACATCTCCAACATTTAGGCTGTAGATTAGGATACATACAAGGCAGCTTTTTAGGGTCCAAATGCCACCTATAAAACATTTTATAAAAATTTTCCCTTAAATTTTGAGCCTGTGTAAATTTTACATTTCTAACCCAAATTATCTCCCATGTATCCAACGGAATCGGTTCCTGAATATTTTGAGCCCATTTTATCATACAATCTTTAATCCAATTCTATTAAAACATTATAAATTCTCTTTATATGCGCTCGATTTTGATCTTTAATCTGTACTACCAAAATCTCATCCATTAAGGTAATATCAACCTTTTGATCTATATACTCCACCTAGCAACTAATTGATTATACTGGAACCAAGACTGTACAATATTTTCTTGCCTTAACTCAACTAAAGATTTTAATTGCCAATCGCTGCCTAGCAGTCTAAGTAATTCTTTATAAGAAATCCTATCAAAATTCACACCCTTAGATATCCCCTCTATCGCGGGTCAGGAATCCCCCAAGGACCAGAGGTTTTGTCTTCCGAGCTTTGGACTTGTGCTGGAGCCCCCATCTTCAGGGAACCTATCACCAGTTTCTAGGCGAGAGGGAAGTTCCCTGAGGAAAGGGCCCTAGCATGAATCTGAAAGCTCAGAAGACAAAACTTCTGGTCCCGGTGACCGACCCAGATAGGATCCTGCTATCTTTCCTTAACCTAATTCTTCAGATCTTTCAATAGTCCACCCATTGACACTACAACTGAATCCACCCATCTTGCTGCTGATTGTCCTCTTCTGATTACCTTCTGTCTTTCTCAACAACATTAGAGATTTTTCCAGAGAGCAAGGCAGTGGTAAGATTCAAATAATTTAACAACCTTTTCTCTGTCTCACCTTCCCTCTGCCTTGGTCAGGGTGGGCTTCTTGGGAGTTAGCTGGGGTGGGGGCAGGAGATCCCAGCGGGGGACAGGAGGGTACAGTTGGGGGGCTGCAGGAGTTTTAGACAGAGGTGGGTGCAGGAGGGTGGGGGGACAAGCAAGTTCCAGATGGGGGAAGGTGAGGGGTCTGGCTAGGGGCAGGAGGGCCGGGATGTCTCTGTGGAGGAAAGAAACACTTCCTCACTGGCTGAGCCTCTCATCCACATCACGATCACATAGGATTGTGTAGAAGGGGTGCTGGGCAGGGCACTGGGGGGCAGCTGGTAGGGGAGATCAGAGCCGCCATCCTCTCCCTTCCACATTGCAGCCCCATCGGCACAGGCGGAGATGGCCCCGGGATGGCCAGAAGGGAGCCCTCAACTGGCCTGGGCCCTATCCCGAGCCCCTTGAGTGGCCGGCCATGCAGGGAAGCAGGAGGAGGGAGGGCGGTTGGAGGTCTGGAGCTGCTTCAGCTACCTGCTAGATGCAGATGGCCCTGCCTCATCAGCCTGATGAGGCAGCGGATCTCATGCAATGGCTGAGGCCTTGTGGGGGAACGGTGTCTGGGCAACACAAGGGCTGGGCAGGAAGCAGTGGTGGTGATCCTTACATTGCCAGGCCCAGTAGGCAGCAGCTCTGGAAACATGTGCCCACCTCACTGCTGCCACTCCACATCCTGCATGTGTCCCCAGCCCCTTGCCACTATCTCCCTTCTGCAGCGCAACATCTGCAATTCCCCGCCACCACCCCATCAGCGCGAGGATGGGCGGCACAGATTCATTTCCGGAGCTGCTGCCAGCCAGGCCTGGCGATGCAGGGATCACCACTGCCACCTACTCCTCCTGCTTAGCCCCATGTGTTGCCCAGGCACCGCTGCCCCTTAAGGATAGTCAGCTGGTGTGTGAGATCTGCTGCCTCATTGAGTGGGTGAAGCGGAGCTGGCTGCAGCCAGTGGGCAGCCAAGGCGGCTCTAGACCCCCAGCCGTCCCTCCACCTCCTCCTGCTTCCCTGCATGGCTGGCCAGTTGAGAGGCTCAGAACAGCAGGAACAGCAGCAGCCACCGCCACCCCCAGATG